GTTGTGCCATCCATCAGGGACTAAGCTTGTGTGTGAGCTGAATCGCCTTCAGGAGAAACCCCAGGAGACACAGACTTCTGGGTTAGCAGATGTAGTATGTTTCTAACCACTTCTGGGTTAGAAGATGTAGTATGTTTCTCCTGACACGAACGTTGGTCAACCACCAGGCTGTGACTTCCTGCAGAAGTGCCCCCACATTACAGGATATGGAGGCTGCTTATTCAGCTGCCTGCCTATGGAATGCTTCCTATACGCACCAAAACTTTGGGCCTAGTGTTATACACGGAGCATAATGTGCACCCTGCGCTTGAGAGAGAGATTCATAGTGGTCAGAGTGCTGCTATAATGGGGATGGGTGGTTGGACAAAGCCGCTCTACGAAACCTCTCATGATAGGTGAAGGGGCCAGCTTTTCCCTATATGCAACAGTTACCTGTTCCTGGGTAGGAGAAAAAGCAGTCCTTTGCCTGACGAAGCTCAACAGCTGGAGATTTCAGTGGGTTCTGGCAGGGTTGCTGGGTCCTACCTGGCTGCTGGCGGGGGAGATCCAGGCTCCTCTCTGGGATCTTCTGGCAGAAGTGACATTATCATTTTTGGCCTTCAAAACCATAGCGTTTGCCTAAAAACTAGAGCATCACCTGCTGGCACGATGACATCACTGGGACATCCCAGAGGCCCCCCAAAGTGGGGGAAACCCTGCTGGGAACTGATGTATGTTAATGTATTCTATGTTTTTATTGGAAGCCGCCCTGAGCCCGCTTGCGGGGAGGGCGGGGTATAAGTCTGAGAAATAAATAAATAAATAAACCCTAACACTTGCCCTTTAAATTCTGGGGAAAGTCCTGGGTGAGCTTCCCCCCTTCGCAGTATGTGCATCATCGCATACCGATAGGGGGGGCCCCTTGGTACGGAGGTGTGATTCCTCGTTTATGCGCATAGAAAGCAAATGGCAAAAAAAACCCCAACTCACCCGCAGTTGTGTCTGATCACAGAGTGATGGGCTGAGCCTGCAGCTACGAAGGGAGGTGTGATCTTGCAACTGTGGGGCAAATTACTCCGGAGGGAATAGCCTCGCTTTCCTTCCGCTTCAATGGGCGCATGCGACCGCAACCATAAGTGTTACATTAGAAACCACAACATTCAAAAACCAGTGGGGGACATTCAGCGGCTGACCTAAAAGTGTATAACAAAAAAAATGGCTATACAGTATGTATAGTAGCCAGTTTGGTGTAGTGGTTAAGTGCACGGACTCTAATCTGGGAGAACCGGGTTTGATTCCCCCACTCCTCCACTTGCACCTGCTGATGTGACCTTGGGTCAGTCACAAGCTCTGGCACAGCTGTCCTTGAAAAAGAGCAGTTTGTGTCAAGAGCTCTCTCAGCCCCACCCACCACACAGGGTGTCTGTTGTGGGGAGGGGAAGGGAAAGGAGTTTGTAAGCCGCTCTGAGACTCCAAGTGAAGGGCGGGGTATAAATCCAATCATCTCCTCCTCCTCCTCCTCCTTCCTCCTCCTCCTCTTCTTCTAGTATACTAAATCTGAAAAACACTATAATGAAGGAATACACACAAACATTCTTTTTGAAATTACAAAAATCCCCTCTTATTAACTATTCTTTAAAGAGACCGAGGTTTCTTGTCTCATTACCAATGCTGATTTCTCCATGCCTACTACCAGTGTTCCCTCTAAGCTGAGTTAGTGTGGGCTAGCCCACAGTTTTTTAGCCTCCAGATCACACATTTTTGTCTCAGCTCAGGAAGGATGACCTCCAGAGCAAGCTAATTTATGCAGTATCCAAATCGTTTGCTCTTAACTTTAACGCCAGTAGCTCACAAAGTAGAATTTTTGCTCGCAGGACTCCATAGCTTAGAGGGAACATTGCGGCTACTACCACTCTGGATATCACACCTAACCCAATCACACCTGCTATTGTCATTCGGCATCACAGGGGGGGCCTTATGCTATTTCATCTCACAGCAACTAGAAAAATAAAAAATAAATATTTTCTTATATCTGGAACATCTTTATCAACCCAAAAATTTAGTATGACCACTTCAGGAAGACGGACCACTCTAGTTTATTCTGTATGCCATTAAAGGTTTGATTTGATTTGATTTGAGCACTCTATAGCCTGTTATTCTTAAAATATATGTTAGAATTTCCCCAAAAAAGATATTAATTTTCTCTCAATACCACCAACAGTGCAAGCAGGTACCTTTCCCCCTGCATTGCTTCCAACAAAAAGGTTGAGTTGAATTATTGTGTAAGGAGATCAAATCAGTCAATCCTAAAATAAATCAACCCTGGAAAGCCAGATACTGAAGCTGAAGCTCAAATACTTTGGCCATCAAAGGAGAAGGGAGCACTCACTGGAGAAAACCCTGATGCTGGGAAAGACTGAAGGTCAAAGAAGAAGGGGATGGCAAAGGATGAGATGGTTGCACAGTGTTATCAAGACAATTAACATGAAATTAAGCAAACTCTGGAGCATGAAGGAAGACAGGAGGGCCTGGTGTGATGTAGTCCATGGGGTCACAAAGAGTCTGACTCAACTGTGCGACTGAACAACAACAAAAAGTTTCAGAGGGGTCCAGTACCAATGTGACATTAATTTAAAGGAAAAATGTTTAATGTGGAGATATTTTGTTATGAAAGGTTATGAAAGCTCCATATAGACCTCTATTGACTTTCCCCTTGAATAGCAGGCCATTCTTTTTGCCATTGCAGTTGGTAAGAAAATGGAGAGACATCAAAAGAATTCAAGATTTTATATAATTTTGAAATAAGGCCTTTTCAATAGGGAGCAATGGTCAAGAGGAGTTTGATTAGTGGATTTTCTGGAGGGGGAACCCAACATAGGACAGTTTCCTCTCTGCTTCCCACTTTGGACAAGTGTAGCAAGAACAAAAGTTGGGAGCGGTGGCGCAAGCAGTAAAACGCTTGCTGCTGTAACAACAACGAACAGCCACTATGGCTGTTCGAGACCCACTGCGGCCGGGGTGAGCTCCCGGCCCTAGTCCCAGCTCCTGTCCACCCAGCAGTTCGAAAGCATTAAAATGCAAGTAGATAAAATGTGTACCTGCCCTAGGTGGCAGGGGGCACCCTCCTCCTCGTGGAGTATGCAGCGGGAGAACTGGCGGCATCAGCGGAGCAGCGGAATGGTGGCGAACAATTTGGATGACCAGCGAGCACAGCATCGAGCGGCGGAAGAGGTGGAGCCATGAGAGGCGCGATGACGTGGTCGGCGCAGTGCGGCGGAGCCGATTGGACATAGCCGGAGCTGCAGCCGACATGATGCCGCATCAGGATGGCCTGCCGAAGGAAGCTGCCGACTGGGAGACCTGCTTCAGGGCACCGGATAATTCGACACTCGAGGTCACTGAAAGAAGCCAACAAGATCGGCTAACCCTGCTGCCTGGGTGCTGGTAGGAAGCCCCGCCCCCTATGTACTATGTGGCCTTAGGTAGGTTAAAAACTGAATTTGGAACCCCTATGTAAACCACTCAGAGACCCTTCGGGGTTAGGAGCGGTATATAAATCGAATGTAAATAAATAAATAAAATAAACTCAGCTTAGAGGGAACACTGGTCATGATACATCAAAGCGAAAAGACAACATCAAAACGGGAGAGAGACAAGAAGGGGGCACTCTTAGTGATCCTCGGGCCCTGGGCGACAATCCAGGACGGGGCCCCAGAACCACGGGGCTTACAGTTGCCAACCTCCAGATGGCACCTGGAGATCGCTTGCGATTAGAAATGATGACCCAGATTAGTTCCCTTGGAGAAAATGGCTGCTTCGGAGGGTGGGCCCTATGGCATTAGACACCGAAGAAGCCCCTCGCCAGACTCCAACCCCCCCCCCCAAAAAAATCTCCAGGTATTTTCCAACACAGAGCCGGCAACCCTGGATGAGTCAGTGCGTCATCTGCATACTGGGGACAAACCAGGCCAGTCTCCAGATGACCTTACCCAGCAGCTTTGTGTAGATGTTAAAGAGCACAAGGGACAAGCTGGAAGCTTGCAGGACCCCATAGTCCAATAGGCTGATCAACAGTCCCCCAGCACCACCTTCTGAAACCTACCCTCCAACTCAGGCTTTGGAAATTCCTATCGATTTGAGTGCGGTTTCTGGGGAGAGTGGAGTTTAGGGAGGGGAGGGAGCTGAGCAGGGATGTGATGATACCAGGCCTGTAGCTATGGTGGGGCTTTGGGGGGCTCCGTCCCCTTTCTTAAGGGCACAGCCCAACAAGAATTTCTCCTGTAAATGCTTTTTTCAAACATTCTAAAACTAGATTTTAAAGATTTAAAGACTAAATTTCAAAGGCATGTGCTCCTTTAAGCAGACTGGGGTGCTGTAGTTGACTGACTCCAGCAATGAACAAGGGGGTGGAGTAGGTGGCCTCTGGGATCTCTTCTAACTCTATGTCAAGAAACTGGTCTCCTTTAAGGGAGTTTTTCTGCCTAAATGTTAGCTTTCTTGAGTATAGAAGTCATTGTTCCCACCTGCTGGCTTGTTATCAGAATTGTTGCTTAGGCTTGCAGAAGTGATTAACTCGCAGCAGCTGAGAACTGTCATCTAAAGTGGTTGACAGCTTGCAGTTTAGAGATCTATCCTAGTAACAGCTTTCTATTGGCTAAATGGCTTTTCTTTCTGCACTGAGAACTTCAGTCCAACTAGAAAAAAAAATTGCCCCACAAGCTATAAAATCCTGGCTACAGGTCTGCAAGTACTTGGAAGAGCAATCTCCAAGGGATACCAGGGCCAGGACACAGGCAGGTAATAGCAAAGCCACCTCTCTGAAACATCCTCACTAGGGGTCGCCAAAAGTCCCCATGACTTCCAGGTTTGCAAGCACACACACAAACTCCCCTCCAAAAATACCAAAAAAAGGAGAAATAATATTGACATATTTTTTAAAAAATTCTTTTTTTTTACTTCATTTTGGGAGAAAATCCCACAGTATTGTAAAAACAGAACAACAGAGAGAGACACTTGGCATGCAGAAATTAGTTTTCAACATTCCATTTGATTAGTGGCAGCTGATTCGGCACACGGTATTACAAAGATTTATTCTTTTTTCATCTTTTTGTCCTCAAAACAGGTCAATCAGAATCTTGAAATTAATGCCAGATTAAAAACTGGTCCGTGCAGAGTGAAAACGAATCAGGCAACAGAAATGGGTACTATTTATAAACTAGAAACATCTGAGGACTTCTCTTTTTCACATTGTAACATTACAAGGAAGCAGTTATTTTACACTGGGTAAACGATTATCCCCGTTAACATTTTTTTTAAATCGGCGCATAAACGAAAGGGAGCTGGTTATGTTTTGAATGACAGCCCAGCTAAAAAACAATGGGTTATTTTCACAGCCTTACTGCAAATCTGGGAAGAGTGAAAACTGCAAGTTAACAGACTCTCAGCTCAGTTCACCAATGGAAAAACAACACAGTGGTACAGAGAGGGGTGATACCGAGGACAAGGCTCAAACCCCGTTAAACAGCCCAAATTACTAGGGAGTCAGTTAAGGCAGAACTAAATGCTACAAGAAACACGGGACTGCCGCCAGAAATGGCAGACGTTCTCTTGAGTTCTCAGCTATAACGTTTCGTACGGCTTAACAGGATGCAGTTCTCTACTTGGCTCACTGGCTCCTGCTGATGGGGGAAGACACACCATAAAGACTTGAGTTTAAAGGAAGGGATGAGCTACAACCACACAGGGATGCCCTTTTTGGCAGCAGCCCTGTGTTCCTTTGTAGCATCAAGTTTGACTCTCAGTGTGCACCCGGTTTTCGTGTTCAGGAGTCACCAACGACATGCACCGGACCTAGCTGAAGGTGGATTGAGGGGCAGGAACTAATGTTTTTAACAGATGAGGTAGAAGCCAACTTCGGCTGAACCAACAAGGCCAAGGCATCTTCTGATGCAGCTATGAGGCAGCAAAGGTATAATAATGACCCATATTTTTGTGCAGAATGAAGACACACCCTCTGCCTCTCACGCAGGAGCTTCGAAGGAAGACAGAAAACAGCCCACATTTTGCAACATGATTCACTGTGCCTCTCAGCTAGAGAAGCAGTTAATCACAGGCTTCCCCTGCTTGGACGCTAAGGGCCCTTGGGTCTAGTCTATTGGACAACTTGGCAGGGACCTCTCTTTGCAATGATGCCAGCATTAACTCCAAAGAACCTGCCCCACAGAAGCCTTGTTTGGTCTGTAATCCAGCCATGGAAATATCAACCCTCACCCTAAAGATCCCACCCCCTGTGCGCCTCCCAGAACCTGCCACTCACACTGGATGCGCACAACAGAGCTGACTCACTGCCTTTAATCAAGGAATTAGCACAGAAAACCCTTACAGCTTTATTATTGTACCAAAAAAGGGGGGAGTGGGGGATAAAAATATAATATAATATATATATATGTATATATTAAACCGCTATTTAAAGTACATACCCTAGTCATAAATAACTGAACACTTTTTCTGCCATTGCAAAATTACTTCTCAAGATCTTCAAATCACATCAGCATTGTGGTAAACAAAAAACAAACAACCAAAACAAACAAACAAACAAACATGGTCTCTGTGTCGTATTAAGCTGTGCGTGACAAAACAACACAGATTTGGATTCGATTGCACAATGCGCAGCTAGTTCTCAGTTCTCCGGTGCTGAAAGGGCAATTTTCACTTAGCCCTCTTTCACCCACGAGAGCCCTGCGTACGCCTGAAGATTCCACTTGGGTACGTGGAAGAGGCGGGTGAGATTTGAAGGCCGTTCTTTGTGTCTGGCCACGTTTCCCATCCACGGAAGGGTGGGGAGTCCTTCGAGATGATCCATTTCTTCGGCTTCTGAACGCAATCTTACTGCCTCTCACATAAACAGAAACCTAGTCCCACGCCGGACATGCAAAGTTGTGCAAGGGTTCCGTTCTTAACGACTCTTCCATCATTCTGCTGACAGCCGCCGCTGGCTGCGGAGCAGGCAGGAGTTGGCGCTTCCATTGTGAGAAGCAGTTACGGACACTGCAGGAGCCGTCCTACCACCACATCCCTCATCCACGGTCTCCAATCCACAGGAAGGAGCACGGTCAGAGCGACTATAAGGTCCGGACAGCCACAGGGTACAGGAGCGACAAGTGTTCCGCTCCTTTGATCGGGAGCTTTTTCGCAGTGTAGTGATGTATCACTTCCGGAACGCTGTCAAACGGAGGGCTGTTCTGGCCTAAAATGTACTTCTCTTTGGTTTTCGTCAGCTTCATATGCATAAACCCTTGGTTGCTCCTGTGAAAAGGAGAAAGAAAGGAAATGATACGGCATGGAACACATCTGTTTGCAAAGCCAAAATCAGCTTTCAATGAATCTTTTAAGGCACTTAGAAGAGCCACAGAGAGATAAAGGGCGAACACGTAGATTCCCAGAGAAATGAGTGATTTTGCCATTCCCCACATGGAAGAGATAAACCTGACAGCGGGGGGGGGGGGACTCGAGGAAAATGCCAGGTGCCTAATTGAAAACCTTTGCAGTGATAGCACGAGGGATCTCTGGGCTTTGCTTGATTGAAACAAGTTTGCCCTGTCTGTGTTGTGCTAAGTGATACGGAATGTTAACGAACATTCTGAAGGCTACAAAGTAAAAGAAACTGTCGGCGAACAAGGCTTAGAGATGGGCAGCCTGTTGGTGGGAAAGGATGCACAGTGTGGATCTACAGATGAGACTGTGGCTTAGTTCGGACAGTGTGCCAAACCACGGTTAAAGCCACTTAGCCAGGTTTTATCATTGTGTTTGGCTTGACAAATTATAGCTGCATCTGTGGCCCTGCCTCTGGAGGCCGCTGTACCCGGATTGCTGCGCAGGTACTAGAAGGACACAGGCAAGCCGCTTCCCCTGTTGTACGTTTGGGTTTTCAGCGCATCCTTGCATTCTGAGTAGTGCTCACTGTGGCTTGGCATCATTTTTCACTTGAATGTGTCTGTTACGTGTGAGTACAAGAGTGTATTTTGAGAGAATGGGGGCTGCGTGTAGATGTAAATATGGGAAGGGGTCCAAGACTGAAGGGGGAAATGCACACTGAGATTTACAGGTGTACATGCACATAACGTCTGCCAGCCCGCATGAGGTGGGGAGACCCACAGCTTGCTCCATGCAGACATCACACTGAGCCATGGTCAATGCAAACCATGGGTTCCAAAGTCACTTCAAACCAGAGTGTCACATGCCTAGGGTTGCCAGCCCCCAGTTTCCAGCGGGGATTCCCCTACTCTGGGGGGCACTGATCAATGCTCCCTCTAAGCTGCGGAGTCTTGTGAGCAAAAATTCTCCTTTGTGAGCTACTGGCATTAAAGTTGTGAACTGCATAAATCAGTTTGCTCTGGAGCCATCCTTCCTGAGCGAAAACAAAAATGTGTGAGCCGGAGGCTAAAAAACTAAATTCAGCTTAGAGGGAACACTGGCGCTGATCCACCGCTGGCCAGAGAGGAAAGCCCCACCTCCAAACAGGGACATCACCCGGTGATGTCCCAGAAGCAATAACGTCACTTGGAAGGGATGTCATCATGTCGGGGGAGGGGGGGCACACGCTCTAGTTTCTGGGCAAACTCTATGGTTTTGAAGGCAAAAAACCATAGAGTTTTGCCCCAAAACTAGAGCATCACCCCGACGTGATGATGTTGTTTCTGGGTAACATCAGTGCAGTTGCACACACGAAGTATGCATACCAGAAGATCCCTGAGTGGAGCCTGAACCCCCCCCCCCTGCCCGCCAGCAGCCAGGTAGGACCTGGCAACCCTACGCATGCCAGTTTGAGGCCAATCTGCAACCGTGCTTTAGGTATTCTGATGCTAACACTGCCTCATGGTTAAAGAGCTACGTCTGCAGAAGCTACATCCAGGTGGTCAGCTTACACAAAGAGCCTATGTGTAAGAAATGCATGAGAATCTTGTCTGTGTAGAGCAGGTGTGGCCAAACTGCGGCTTGGGAACTGCACGTGGCTCTTTCACACATATTGTGTGCACCCCTGGTAGGGCAGCCGGGGAAGTGAAGGGAAGGCATGCCTCCCCGATCGGTCTTCCCTTCCCCAGCCAGGGTTCCCCTCCCTGGGTAGGTTTGAGATGGGGGGGAGCAGAGAAAGAAAGCAAGTTTAACTTTAAATGAGTTCTTAAAGACACCTCTTCCCTTGCTGGCTGGCTTGGAGAAGGCATTTGTCTCTTTAAATCCCTTCTCCAAGCCAGTTGGCGTGGGGGTGTGTGTCTTGGAAGATGCATTTAAAGTTGTTTTCTTTCCACCTCTCTCTCCCTTCCCGTCATCTATTTTCTTTCTTTCCACTTTCTTTCTTTCCACCTGCCTTCTTTCTTTCTCTCTTACTTCCCTCCCCCCATCTAAAGTTAAATATCATGATCAATATCTGTTTTTACCTCTTTTGTTTTTATTTCTGGCAGTCTCATTTAATGTTAATAAAAAGCAAATTTGCATATTTTCCAATAAAAACATGTGGGTTATATTTGTTCATGTCTTGTGGCTCTCAAACACCTGACGTTTATTCTATGCGGCTCTTACGTTAAGCAAGTCTGGCCACCCCTGGTGTAGAGAAAGGATCTCCCCAGCTGGTGAAGGGGGGAGGGGGTGGTGAGATGCCACAGGATAAGCATTCAGTTCTGCGTCTCAAGTGTCAATGGACAGACCATTTTAAGCTGAGAACGGCTTTTCTTCCTTCTGAAATTGCCCGAGATTTTCTCTCTCTCTTAAAGTGAATGTTTCCTACGGAAAGCTGAAGCAAATTTCAGGCTCACGTTATTCAGATTTGTTGAGGCAATTTCGTGATGAAATGACCCTTCTCTGCAGAGCAGAAATCACTGCAGGCGCTGTAATTATAGCTCTGGCAAGCTTAAAAAAATCTTGATTTAAATTTCAATTCTTTACAAGAATGATTCTCTTTTGAAACATAATTGCTCTCTAAACGATTTCCTTTAAGCCAAGTGTGACATCTCTAAATACATTATTATGAGCAGATATATTGTTCTGTTCCTTCGGTTCATTATGTGTTTTTTTTCCTCACTCTGCAAGCAAAGGGTTTAGGATTCTGCCACTAAATTAATGGGATTGTTGGAAAAGGTGCATATTAATTCAAGGCTGGAACAGAGCACAGACTCTGTCTGGATGCCTCTAAGGCTCAAAGCTACGGGAAGAAAAGAAGTTATTGGCAGATAATCTCTTTCCATGTTTGCTGTGCTATCGACTGCATAAGGGTCTGGCCTGTGGATCAGCGGCTGGGTCAGCCAGGGATTTCACAAGGGGCCAGGGCGCCAGGAAGTGACTGTCGGGTCCTTGTAGCAAACGGCGGGAGGCTAAGTAAAAAAACGTTCGAGGGCTAGAAATTTTTATTTACAGCATTTGTAAATAAAACATATCCTGCCCTCTCTGACCAATCAGAGCTGCCAAGGCGGCTAACCATTAAAACAGCATAATAAAATATATCACAGAACCAATTAAAAAGCAGAGCTAAAATAGATTGGGTTGCCAGGTCGTCCCCCCGGCCACCGGTGTGTGTGGGGGGGAGTAGGGTTGCCAAATCCATATATATATAAACTGATCTCTGTAGTCCAGAGATAAGCCGTAACTCCAGGAGATCCCCAGGTCCCACCTGGAGGCTGGCGTCTCTAGCACGACAAATTGTGCCATGACAAAGAGTAAGAGGGGCCCCATGCCACCCATCCACCCCTAGAAAATGCGTGTGTGGGGGGCAGAGGATGACCATAGCGGTCGGATAAGTTTATATGGGAACAGGTGGTGCTTAAATTATGCTGGTCCTAAACCATAAAGGCTGTGGTGGCTCAGAGGGTAAGACGCTGAGTTGCAGACCGGAAGATTGATAACTTGGCAGTTCGAGACCCTAGTGCCGCATGACCGAGTGAGCTCCCGTCTCTGGACACAGCGCCTGCCAACCTAGCAGTTTGAAAGCAAGAAATTGCAAGTAGATAAATAGGTACTGCTTTCGGTGGGAAGGTAACAGCGTTCCGTGCGCCTCGGCGTTTAGTCATGCCGGCCACATGACCACGGAAACGTCTTCGGACAGCGCTGGCTCTTTGGCTTGGAAACGCTGGCTCTTGGACAGCGCTGGCTCTTGGCGGTGGCTTGGAAACGGAGATGAGCACCGCCTCCTAGAGTCAGATTTGACTGGCTTTTGAGCAAGGGAAACCTTTACCTTAAACCATAAAAAGGTACTAAATTCTCTAGATTTATTTACAAGGCTACTTCCATAAAGAACAGAGTAGGGTGGATGCTACCCCTTATCCTACCATTCCACCGAGCAAAGTTTGTTCATTTAACTTATGATGATATTTTACCCCTTTAGTTTTAGCTCAGTTTCAAAGGTGTTCCCCCAATCTGAGGAGGCCAAAGTAGGGTTGCCAAATCTGTCTTCGCCGGGAGCGGGGGGGGGCTCCTGGCCGGCGTTGGGGGTGCGCGCGCGCTAAGTGTGTGCGCGCGCTACACTGGGGGTGGGGCCATACAAGGGAAAACCATAGAGTGACCCCGCCCCCAGCGTGCCTGGCGTGCCTACATCACTTGATAGTGACGCGCACGCCGGGGGTGTCGGAAATCGGGGCTTCAAAGTGGGGGATTCCCCGCCCCCCACCCACATTTGGCAGACCCTAGGCCAAAGGCTCTTGTAGGCTGGAGGAAGGCTCTTTGGAGGATGGGTGGATCCAGCCCACTCCCTGACTTATCCTGGATCTGCAAAAAGATGGGGATGACGACACTGGCCCACTGAATTTCTGTCAGTACGGTCCAAAAAGAGAAAACTGTGAGAAATAAACGCTAATACTATATTCAAGAATCAATTTACAATAACAAAAAAGGTAAATAGTATTATTTGGTGAAAGTAGATGGTGGTCTCCAGAATGATCTGCCGTTTTTTAACTTATGATGATATTTTACCCCTTTAAGTTTTGGCTCAGGTTCAAAGGCGTTCCCCCAATCTGAGGATTAACTTATGATGATATTTTACCCCTTTAGTTTTAGCTCAGTTTCAAAGGTGTTCCCCCAATCTGAGGAGGCCAAAGTAGGGTTGCCAAATCTGTCTTCGCCGGGAGCGGGGGGGGGCTCCTGGCCGGCGTTGGGGGTGCGCGCGCGCTAAGTGTGTGCGCGCGCTACACTGGGGGTGGGGCCATACAAGGGAAAACCATAGAGTGACCCCGCCCCCAGCGTGCCTGGCGTGCCTACATCACTTGATAGTGACGCGCACGCCGGGGGTGTCGGAAATCGGGGCTTCAAAGTGGGGGATTCCC